TTTCAACCATGCGCAGTTTTTCGAGCACAGCGTTCGTTTTCACACCTAAATTATTTTGCTTAATTTCATCTAGCCACTTTGTATTGGTGACAAAGACCACTGGTCATTTGATTCTAAAATGTATGAGGAATTCAAGGATGTAGGTATCGCAGATAAGTTTGAAATATACTTGATGTTACAGGCGTCTCGTAACCGGTGCACCTGAAACGTGATTTTGTAAACACTATCCAATATGGCGGAAAGTTCACTTCTGCGTTCGTGTTTTCCTTTTTTCCAAAACATTCTAAACGAATCTAGGGTTATCTGAGACGTTTTGGAATGATCATTGGTGATTTCATAAAAGACAGATACCCGTGATCACTAATATGCTATTTTTGAAATTCATTTGTCCGAGTAAATATGCGAAATTTAGATTTCAAAACATGCTGTAAATAACGCCGTGAGTGGTGATTTAGTAATGTGTAAAAAATGGCGACATTAACGATGTACCTAATTTTCAGAGGTCATGTTCAGTACTTTTGCTTGGCCTAAAATGCCAGTGGATGATATCACAGAACAGGGAATTTCACACCTTATTCAAAACTGTAAAGTGTAGTTGTGTGGGTGATGTATTTTGAATTTTATTCGACTTCAAAGTGAGGGCTGTAGAGGAGGGACATATATGTCCCTCTGGCATCCAGGGGGTTAACGCCGCTTTTAACAGTATTCCAGTTCTATCACTGCGTGTCAGCTTCATGTGGGAGGAAAGCCCGAAGTGATGCAGGTCGCAGACGTTTACCACTTCGGTGAAACCCACGAGCACGGGTATGGTGCTGACAAACCTAGAATCATAATCGGGGTGAACCAGGATTCGAACCCACAAACATAGATTTCTGGCGTGCCCAAGGGACCCAATTTTTAACTCTGCACAGCGAATCATGGTGCCTTAGACAACTGGGCCACAACTGTGCATTACTGTGTGTATTTTCCCTTTAACTCAGCCAGAAATAGAAATCAGCTGTGCACACTTTCTACCGGTGATTCAGTTAAAAAGTACACAATGATACAATTTCAAAGAATTTGGATGCATTGGTCGGAAGAAATTGTATCTGAAATTATTGTTTTATCGGGAATAATATAAATCCAATATCGTGATATTTTAGTTGAAGCTATTACTATATATAAAATTAATTTCCCCATTGTTTTAACATTACAAGGGCATTTTATCTGTACCCCGTCTACTAAAGCTTTTGAGTTTAGTTCTAACCCTGCTACATCAGTAATCCCTGTGTTATGTGCAAATTGTCTTGCTTTCTTTGGCTGAAATAATACTGTGGCTGCTTCGAGATTATATGCACGTTCCCATTATGTTTCACAGCAATACGTCATTAATTTATGTAAAATCATGACAGTCAGAGATCTGAGATTTTATCTATTTAGTTTATGCATCTGTTTCAACGTTCAGCCTTGGTTTTGTCAGGTGCAAGTAGGTTTTTATGTCAACATACACCTGGTGCAAGTTACATCAGGGTGGACTTAAGGAACTTGATTTAACTAACTCATTGTAGATTGTATTGTATTGTATTGTCTTGTCTTGCAAGTTACACACAAGTCAGATCATAACACTCATTCTCTGGAAAGCATTATCAAAGAATTCACATCATCATTTATTCATTATCACAGACTTTATGATTACCATTTCACGGGTTTTAATGATTCTTAAGATGTCTGTAGATAGTCATTTGATAATCATTTCACATCCCAGAACATGGAACATCTTCACAAAGACAAGAGGATGACACCATCAGCTGTTAACGCTGTCTCGATGGGCTTTCATCACAGCACTCAAGGACAGCGGGCTATCTAGACAGACTGCCCACATGTCCGAATGCTCAGATTTGGCTAGTTGTCATCATGGTGGTTTATAGAGTGGAGAGAGAGAGAGAGGAGATAGAGGCATGAAGGAAGGGAGACATACATCCAGAATTTAGAGACAATACAGCAAATGACAAAGCTTGAATATCAATAACAGGCTCACTGAGTGAGTTTAAGGTAGTTTGCACAATTCTTCAGTATTCAGGGTAATTTAGCAATATCCACCATTTCCTAAGTTGAGTGAGTTGGGTTTAACACTGCTTTTAACAGTATTCCAGTTATATCACGGTGTGTCAGCTTAATGTGGGAGGAAAGCCCGAAGTGATGCAGGTCTCAGTCGTTTACCACTTCAGTGAAACCCAAGAGTACGGGTATGATGCTGACAAACCTAGAAACATAATCTGGGCGAACCAGGATTCGAACCCACAACCATAGGTTTCTGGCGTGCCCCAAATGACGTAACTCTGCACAGCGAATCGCGGCGCCTTAGATGACTGGGCTACCCGTGCCCCCTCCCTACTAAGTTTAGTAGATCGCTGAGTTGGAGATTTGTGTGAGGTGCTCTTAATACAGCCTGGTGTAAATAAAAACTTACGTGAATCTTCTGAAAACAATAGTCATCAGGAAATGAAAAATTCCCTCGATCTAGTGCAATTCGGAAATGGAGTTTGGCTACTTATTCCCTACTTTGGTTCATTGCCATTGGATACCTCCAGTTCAGAAAAGAAAAAACCCAATACTATTCAGTAGTATTCAATATCCCAAATCATCAAAAGGCCCCAGTTCACCACTAGACTGATCTGTATAGCAAGTTTCAACAAGAGGACAAAGTCACTGCTATCCTCCATTATGGTAAATACTTGCCGTGAATATGTCAACTAGATATATATATATATATATATTTGTTGCCATGGGAACCCGATTTTGTCAAAAATCCAAAACTATCAAAAGGTATCAGGTCACCAGATAGGCTGTGCCAAGCTTGGTGAAGAAATATTGGATGTTTTTTTCAAGATCTGCTATTGAAACAAGCAGTTCCGCCATTTCCAGTTTAAGTCGAAGTTGTTGCCATGATAACTCGAAAAACATATTTTTCAAAAATCCTAAACTATCAAAAGGCACCAGTCCAGCACTAGGCCTATCTGTGTGCCAAGTCTGGTGAAGAAATATTGTATGGTTATCAAGATCTGCTCTGGAAATGACAGACTGACAGTGTCCATTTTAATACCTGTGCAAAGCGCGTTGCTGGGGGAAAGAAATATTCAACGGTTTAGGAGTTCTGCTCCGGAAAAGGAAAAAGGACAGACGCCTGGACAGACATGCTGATCTCTGTATCTCCCCGTTTTTCAAAAAGCACATGGTAAAGCAACTTTGGATGATGATTTACCTGTTTTACACTTAATGTATTGAAATAATCAATTGTCAAGCATGGAACAATATCAACTAGATTGATATTTTTCTTGTCATTGATGTTTTGACCACAGACAAATACAATGACACCCTTCACCTGAGTGAGTGAGTGAGTGAGTTAAAATTTAACGTCGCATCGGCATTATCCCAGCCATATAGCGACGAGACCAAGTTAATATATTTACAATTTAGTCATTGATGCAAAGTTTTGTTTAAAAACCTTCACCTGAGGCTACCCTTGTGTCAGACTTCCAGCGGGTTTTCTTGTTCAGTTTAAACTCGAGCCTCTCACCAGAAGGGATGGTCCTGGAAAACACAATGTTATACTCAGGGATTTACCTAGGATTGCAAACTAAGTGCCCTTGACAAGCAAATAGTGGAAAAAGATAAATATATTATTTAAAATTGGGATATTTTTATATTCATATTTTCTGCAAGTCAGATATTTTTACCACTGCATTCAATAAAAAGTTAACTCAACAAAGCCATAGTAGAAGTGGGATTTCTTTTATTTCCCATTTGGGAATGTTTACTGACATTTGCTGCAGGCTTTGGGCATAAATTTATAATAGATCTCTGATCTAGTAAAATCCTTGATACACTTCATAGATTCTAATATGTGAAGATCTGATATAAGTATTATTATTCCCAAGTGCAATTGTGTCAATATTTTCTCAGGAGATAATTTGCTCTAGAATCTTGAGGAAAACATTTATGAGAAAGATAATAATTAGTTAATAATTTACAATGCAGATATGAAAAGAAGCTCAATTCATAATTCTCATCAAATGCCATTGTTACTACTAAGCCAAAATTAAACCTTTATAAACAATGGCACCTGTAGGACCAGCTAAATGCACATAGGAAAAAAACACCCTTCCACTTGAACACTGCCAATCCAATCTAAACATTTCACTGACTCTAATTCCTAATGAATAAAAAGTTACCTTTTCTAAAAACACCCACATCTCTTCTACACAGGACCATGTGTTGATGTCACTGACGTCTGAGTTTATAGAACATTGATTACATGATCATGTGCTTCAGCTCGTGCATTACGTGAAAATCATGGCACGCATGTCTGCTGTCAATAATACGCATGTAATAGAGTTATCTCCCTTAAGTCCCTTCTCTTACACAACTTAGAAGGACAGCAGGTCGAGTTGCCCTCTTCTCAGGGTCAATTCTTGGACATCCAATGGTTTACTTGTGCCAAATATGTAAATTAGTAGATCTAGATGTTGTTTTGGATGATTCTAATTGACATATGATGATTTATATTTTCGTCAGCATATATCAATGATATATTTATTTTTTAGACATCGATTGGTGATATAGCCTAAAATATAACATTTTATCAATATTTGTATCTAGCACAAAGAAAGAAATAGAATTATGTAGGGAGATTAAAATTGCTTGCAGTTTTTAAATGGCATACCCAGGAGATAAGCAGACGTATTTCCTTGATCACATTTCAATAATTTTTATTGAATAAATTGGTTCATGCATCTCGCGTTTGGGGCAAGTTTTCATTCTCGAAATAGTCACGCTTCTACTCCTGGCCAAGTGGTAGGGCCCGGATTAGCGATCAGTAGTGCTGAAAGAGTTATCGTTCTTGCCGCACCTATTGTCGTAACTAATAAGTCACGCCAATATATTCCAAGGGGTGCATACATATTGGAGATCCAAGTACGGCTTTGGGTTATGTTGATTTTATAGTTCCTATTTTTTAAAGTAACTAAACCTACTTTTATACAGAAACTATGTCGTGAAATACGGAGACGCGCGACCTTTTTATGACAGCCGGAATCCGCATGCTAATTCCAACCTGAATTTTAAGGACATCGAGGACAGCTGGTCAGAATGAATATTCGCTGTGCCACTGTGAGTAATATCGTAAAGACTATATATGTATGTTTGTTTAACCGTGACTTGGGAACTATCGATTCTCCCTTCAAAGCGATTATGTGTATTTTCTATCAGCCGCCCAGTATTCGCGCATTGGAAAAGCATTTTGTTCTAGTTTTTGCTGCGGATTAAGTTGGTTGGTTTGTTGTAGCACTCAGCTATATGATGGCGGTCTGTAAATAATCGAGTCTGGACCAGACAATCCAGTGATTAACATTATGAGCATCGATCCACGCAATGTGGGATCGATGACATGCATAACCAAGTCAGCGAGCCTGACCACCCGATCCCGTTAGTCGTGGATTAGGCCGAAGTATGAAACAAGTGGCCACAAACACTCATAATTGGCACACTACCGAAGACAAACATCGGTCGAAATCTAATTCGTAATAACTTGTAATTACAACGAGCGCCTTACGACTACAAGAAGTCATTTATGTTTATTGATGATCGTGATACTTTGGGGGGGGTCATACTATGTAGCCTTGTAGTCCCTAGAAATCCACTTTGAATTATGTGAGGACTTCAGAACAGGGCACGTTGTCAATGATTATGAACATACTGAACACAGATTAGCATTTTTTGTGAAAAATAGATATGTTTGCTATTTGTAAGAATAAACACATTAATGTATAATGCAAGTCTATGCAAAAACGTTTTGAGTCCATGTCTACTGTACTAGCATGTCTGGCCTGAGCAGTTTTAAATTAGCATCATATTCAGTTGATTTGGGTACTAAGTTGCAGACTGTAATGCTATTAATTGACATTATTATTAATGTTTGATCACATTTTTTTATACCATGGTTACTCATGACCATGTGTATTGGTACATTTGCAATTGAAGTAAAGTCATCATGTTCATGTTGCTATGGTAACACTTTGCTTGATGTTGCAGCCGGATGACTTGATGAACATGCAGCATTGCAACCTGCTGTGTCTGCCAGAAAACTATCAGATGAAATACTACTTCTATCATGGACTCTCATGGCCACAGGTAATACACTATAATTATATGCATTTTTATCACCCTCTTTCTTTCTTTGTTGTTTAACACCACACTCAGCAATATTCCAGCTGTATCATCATATGACAGCAAATAATTGAGTCTGGGCCAGACAATCCAGTGATTGACACCATGAGCTTCGATCCACGCAATTGGGATACAATGACATGCATCAACCAAGTCAGCAAGACCACCTGATCCCGTTAGTTGTTGTCTTACAACAAGCCTTGGTTGCTGAAGACCTATTCTATTCTGGAGATTCACGGGTCGCATTTGTATCAAATTGTGGTGAAGTGAATGAATCCTTTTCAGGTTAAGATTAAAATACCAAACAAGTATAAAAAAATATGCCAGAATGTTAAGGGGTTCTTTATCATAACCTGATAACCTGTTACCGATAAAGGTTCTAACACGAATGGTTCCCAAAATTCAACTCCAAGGGCACCCTTTTAAACACTGCATGACTGAGTACCAGTAGGGTGAGTAATAGGTCGGCAGCAGTCTATGCTGGTCATAAGCCTTGTGGTCTGACTCAGCAGTTTGAATTGTTTTTTGTTCTTTCAATCTATCCAGTGTCGTCGTAAAATGAAGAATCAAATATACTCACCGCCCAAATCATAGAAACATACAGAACAGTATGTACGTTTAGAAGAGATGTTTCCAATGTGTACCACTTAATCACAACCTTAACAATCAGTCAAGTGTTACCACAGCATGTCTTGATTTCGAAACTTTACATGCTAATTTTTGCACGAGACAAATGGTGTATCTTGAGTCATAGATCTATGATGTAACTTGAGTGTCAGTTCACACAACATACCAGTATGTTCTTTTGTGCATCAAATCAATAAATCTTATATCTCTTGTATATGAGTAATTCTTTGTATAGAAACCAACATATATGGTATTCGTGTTTATTTGGGCAATGTGTATGATTCCCAGTTTTAGTCTAGATCAAGATCCTTTTAAATAGAACTACTAATAGTAGTGACTAGAACATTTACCATTTATAACCAGTGTTTGAAATAATTTTGAAACCCAACAAGACAGTTAGGCAGGTGACCATTAAATGTTGCCTGCCTATCTTCAAGGTGACTTGCCCTCATTCAGACCTGTGGAGATCCGGCGTAGAATAGGCCTTCAGCAACCCATGCTTGCTGCAAAAGGCGACTATGATTGTCGTAAGAGGCAACTAACAGGATCGGGTGGTCAGGCTTGCTGACTTGCTTGATGCATGTCACCATATCCCAATTACGTGGATCGATGCTCATGATGTCAATCACTGGATTGTCTGGTCCAGACTCAATTATTTACAGACCGCCGTCATACAGCTGGAACATTGCTGAGTTGCGGTGTTAAACAACAAACATCATTCACTAACTAATAATGCATCCTCTTGTGTAATACAAAACGGTCATATGTCTTCTTTCTTTATTAATGAAAGAGGTTGCAGACAAGGAGACCCAATATCACCATATCTTTTTCTTTTTGCTGTGGAAATCTTAGGCTGTATGATAAGAGACAATAAGAACATAGGAATTGTATTGAATGAGAAAGAGTACAAATTAGGTCAGTATGCAGACGACACACAATTATTCTTAAACGGAGAGGCTGACTGCCTGTATGCAGCAATAAATATACTTGATTGTTTCTTTAAAATGTCTGGACTTAAAATAAATATTGATAAAACAAAAGCCATATGGATCGGGTCGAAAGCAGGGAGCTTAACAAATATTTGTGAAGACTTAAAGTTAGACTGGCATGTAGGCAATTTTGAAGTGTTGGGAATTATTCTCAACCCCCATTTGCAAGATCTATGGGTTATCAATACCCGAAAAAGACTTGAAACAATAAATAGGTTATTGGCAAACTGGAGAAGAAGAAACTTGACTCTTATAGGTAAAATTACTGTTATCAAGTCATTGGCTCTCTCAACTCTTGTCCATATTTTTATGGCACTGCCAAACCCCCCAGAAGATTTTATTACAAATTTAAATAAAATTTTGTTTAGTTTCTTATGGAATAATAAACCAGATAAAATTAAAAGGCAAAATCTGAAAAAAAAAATATGCTGATGGTGGGCTTAGAATGGTGGACATTAAAATATTTATAGAATCACTAAAATTATCTACTTTAACATGTGTTTAAGAAAGTATTTAAAAAAGAGTACATGTGATAATCCTTCAGTTTTTTCTTTCACTGATATGATAAATTTAGGAGTCAATGCTGATAAATATTTATGTGTGAAAAACCCTTTTTGGAGAGATTTTTTAAATGTTTGGGGAAATTACGGCAGAAAATTTACAACAAATTCAGAAAGGATCTCCGAAATTCTATCACAGCCCCTATGGCTAAATCACCAATTTAAACATGAAAACTACATAATTAAAAATTGGTTTAAAAAGGGTATAGTGACAATTAAGGACTTATGTAATGAGAATGGATTTTTGCCATTTGAAATATTAAAAGTACGTTATGATATACAGGGTACAATATTAGATTATAATAAGGTTAAACTTAGTATACCTAAAGAATGGAGAGACACTGTCAATCATTATATCAAAATACCAATATATGACTTAAATCTTAGTCCACAATTGAGGGATATATCTATACCCGTTCAAGGATCTAGGTACTTTTATGATAAACTAATTACAATAACAAAACCACCCTTAGTAAATGGAAAATGGCAATCTCTTTTTGATAATGATATTCAATGGAAAGAAGTTTACTCAAATTTCAGAAAATGTACTAAAGATACTAAATTGATTGACTTTCAGTTTAAGTTTATCCACAGAATAATTTACACCAAAAAGGAATTATTAAGAATGAAACTAGTTGATAATGATATTTGCTCCTTTTGTGACTTAAATGGCGAAAACCTTATACATGTATATTGGGAATGTGAATATGTTAAACACTTTTGGAGCAAACTGGAAACCTTTTTAAACCTTGACACAAATACTAGGATCTCACTTACCAAATACTCAGTTATTTTTGGATTCGACAAAAATAAACTTTTACTTAATCATATTATAATATCCAGTAAAAGATATATATATATATCAAGTATTAAGGGTGAGAAACCAATTTTTGATAATTTTAGGAAAATCCTAAAAGAGACAGCGATGATTGAAAAATTCATTGCCACCAAAAACAATGGTCTATTGCAATTTGAACGAAAATGGGGAAAAATCCTACACAGATTAATATAATAATCATGCCCTGTACAATAAGGCTATAGATCAGCTATGCCTCAAATAGCAATACTACCATAATTGTTTTAGTTATATCTGACTATCGGTACAACTTTTCATGCTCTTCTTGAGGCATATCATGTGTGTGTGTGCGTGTGCGTGTGTGCGTGTGCGTGTGCGTGGGTGTGTTTCAATTATGCATGCTATATTTATATCACAAGAAATGTACATCTATGTAACGTATTTTCACTACAATTGACTAAACCTACTGTGTAACCTCTGAACCTGATGTACAACTCTTTGAAAGGAATAAAAAATGTCACAAAAAACAAACATCATTCAGACGTTATAAATATTGATTAGTTGCAAAACATTAGAGACAAATCACATCTTGATTCAGTTAAATAATGCAAACAATTACTTGAGAATCTACAAGGAGTTGAATAAAACAGAATACGTAAGTAGTCTTAAAATTATCTGCCAGACAGTCCGGCAGATGGAGGAAAATTTCATGTGGCCCAACAGGAAAGGTACCAGCCACGGGCAGGCGGACAAGCAGTTAATTCGGACACTGTTTATAAGATCTACATGATACCAGTTATTTTTTTAATTCCTGTTGTTTTGTCTTCCAGCTGTCATATGTAGCCGAAGATGAAAATGGAAAGGTTGTGGGATATGTCCTAGCGAAAATGTAAGTATCTCCATTGCTCACTGTCAAGTGTGAGAATCACTGTTTTATCTTTCACTCTTACAAGGACAACAGAAAATAGGACTGATGCTCTCACATGCTTCTGGATGATGTATGTGCACAAGGGACCAGTATGATGCTCATATACAAAACCTATAACAATAATCATGATAGTGGCAATTCAGAATCTTCTATCTAAAATCATGTAAATATCCTGGTGTCTTCACCAAAATCACTGCCTGGGTATGGTAAGATTTGTACTTATTGTGGGCATGCGTATGTTCATTGTTGTTGTTGTCGTTGTTGTTGTTGTTGCTGCTGTTGTTGAGTACAACGTGTGATATATTTAGATAGATCTCTTTGTAGGGAGGAGGACCCGGAGGACTCGGTGCCGCACGGACACATCACATCACTGGTAGGTAACCATGGTAACCACTCACAGTGCACACAGTCTGTGGAATACAACGCAGCCATTCTTTCTTATTTTCATCACGTCATACCTAAAACAATTTTTGTTTAAATTTGTAATCATTATTACTGCTGAAAATACTTGGTCAACCATAGAAATAATTATGGATTGACTTCAATATGTTTTGGGGGTATAAACGTTAAAATGAGGCACACTGTCTTTTGAATTTAAATTAAATTTAATTTGAAAGTGGAGAAGTATGGTAGCCAAGTGGATGGGGTATTGCTTATCATGCTAAAGGCATGAGTTTGATTCTCCATGTGGTACAATGTGCAAAACGCCTTCCCTCTGCCATGATTTGCTGAACATGCATCAACTGAGGATGTTAGATCTTGTTGTTTTCTGTCCCAATAAACACGATAACTGTGTCCTAACCTGTAACCTTTCCGGCTGTTGTGGTAACTGAATTTGACGAAGAACTAATCGAAATAGCTAACTACTGATTGGATGTTGATTAACATGGGTGTCTGCCTTTCTTCAACTCCAATATGGGGCGGTCGGGTAGCCTAGTGGTTAAAGCGTCAGCTCGTAACGCCGAATACCCAGGTTCGATTCCCGATTTGGGTACAATGTGTGAAGCCCATTTCTGGTGTCCCACGTTGTGATATTGCTGGAATATTGCTAAAAGCGGCGTAAAACCATACTCACTTAACTGCAATATGGTTATCCAAGGGAATTAACCCTGCCCCCCTCAATCGTTTCTACACTGGCTTGTTAACTATACAATCACTTCAGCAGTTTCCTGTAAACCTTTGTAAACTGCTTGAAGGAAGTTAAAGAACACCTAATTCTATAAGGAAGAGAGTTTGTGGATGTCAACTTCTTTATTATGAGGAGCACAATGTTTCAGAGTATATGCTTCATCTGATGAAGGAGTAGGCATATACTCCGAAACATTGTGTTCCTCCTAATAAAGAAGTTGACATCCATAAATTCTTTTCCTCATGTGTATCACTTCTAAATGTCTCAAAGACTTGACCTTATTCCATGACATGAACAGTTGGAAAAAGAAATCTATGGCCTGAGCAGGAAAATGTGTTCAGTTTCTTTGAGACATGTTTGAATGCAATTTTGATTGTAATATTGCACTTATTATTTTTTATGAAAATTTATTTACAAGTGTTATTTTCAAAAACAATTAAGGAAAAGTTTTTTATAATTCATGCACAGAACCCTACTGTAAACATTGCAGTCTGTATTGTTAATATTTGTAACCTATGAAACATGTTACAATCATTCTACCACTTCAACATGATCAAGTACGGTCAAGTCCCGTTAATCCGACATTGTTGGTTGCATATGATTATGTCGTATTAACAAGTATGTCGGATAAACAAAATTGATATTGAGGTAATCTAGCCATGTGATTAATCCTGTTTTGTTTATTTAAAGCAGTAATTGTTTATTGTTAAGCAAGTTTATCTCTGAAGCCGGTGAAATATGAAGCTACTTGCCGACTCGTCTCACATCAAAACACGTGTCTGTGTACTCGCGGGCAGATGACCATGGAGTACGCTGATCACTGTGTCGGATTAACGAGACTGTTTAATGCGTGATTTCAGCATTTCGTTGCAAATTAGGTGTGTCGGAGTCGGAGTGCGAGACTGTCGGATTAACAGGTCTAAATAGCACTGATTAAATTGGTTCCCATCATTTGTGTCGGATAAAGCCGATTGTCGGATTAACGAGTGTGGGATTAATGAGACTTGACTGTATGTCAAATGTATCGTTTGCAATGCAAATAAGTGGGATGCAAATACTAGCCTGACTGGGAGTGTTTACATGTAAATGCACATGGTATTATGTCTGAAGTATTTTCCATGAACCCGTATCTTGGAAAGATGTTATACTTTTACCATGGTTACTGGAAGTGGTATTAATGTTCCTGTGTCCCTGTAGGCTGTGAAGCGGTCACACAGACGACTCGGCCTGGCCCAGAAGCTGATGGACCAGGCATCCCGTGCAATGGTGGAATGTTTCAACGCTCAGTACGTCTCCCTCCACGTCCGGAAAAGCAACAGAGCTGCTCTACATCTCTACACAAACACTCTCAAGTTTACGTAAGTCAATGGGTTACCACTGTTAGACGTCATTTTCAGATTTTGAGGTAATTTTAATTCCAGTTTGAAACAAATTTTTGATTTCAGTCTAGTTTATAAACCATCTTCCCGGGGCAAGAGAGTAAACTGACTTTAAAAGTCCAGTTTCCACCCCTGCCGAACTAGGCTGATATTATGGAGTAATATTTTGGCGGGACTAGCGAGTCTAATTAAAATCGTGCAAAAAAATTGAAATCTGGTTCGTAAACTGTCGGACGATTGCAGGTTTTGCAAAGCATGTGCCCTGCCAACTTGTTGTCAACAGATATTTTCCAAATCTTTTCATGTTTTTAATCAAGGTTTGATGACTTCACGATGTAAGACCTGTTTTATTGCAATATACATCTTGATAATTGATCAGATCGTCTTGACTTGGCGCCACCATTTTGTTTGAAGCAAATGCAAGTGATACGAGAGGTGGAATCTGATTGGTCCATAGGAGAGGCTTAGAAATAGAAGTGACATAACTTGTAATAGACACTGGTTGTGCTATGATTAAGCCCAGGAATTCCAGCCTAGTTCGGCAAGGGTGGAAAGTGGACTTTTAAAGTCAGTTGACTCTCTTGCCTCGGGAAGATGGTTCATAACATGGTATCTTTGTCTCCATGTTTGGATTATGTAAAAACCTAGGGATCTTTTTTTAATTGGGGGGAGGGGAGGAGGAGAGGAGGCATTGATCGGGGTGTCAGAGGTTTTTTGTGCACTATTGTACTGAAAATAATGACTCTCCTCTAATGTTTGTCATATTTTTTGGATGACCCTCTCCTTGTCCTCGTACATTTTTTCGTGACCCTCCCAAAACAGACAAAATACAAAATCACTTTTTTTCCCATTATCCTCCCAAAATGTCTGTATTAATTTTATGACCCCCTCCTGGAGATTGTCCTCCCCTGATTCCGTTTGACCCACCCACCTCTATACTCTGATGATAATCACTGGATTGTCTCGTCCAGACTCGATTATTTACAGACTGCCATCATATAGCTGGAATATTGCTGAGTGCGTGTTAAACAACAAACTTACTCACTGACACACATGCCTGTTGCAGGATCAGCGAGATCGAGCCCAAATACTATGCAGATGGAGAGGATGCCTACGCCATGAGACGAGATCTTTCGGAGTTTAGAGAAAGAGTAAGTCATCCATGTCTGTCTGGACTTCAGTTTCAAAACAAGGTGTCAATTTCAGACGTAATCCTTGACCAGCGTTAGAAATTGGCACTTGTCCTGTAGTCCTTACCAAACTGCCCAATGGTTAAGGTATCCTAAGGACTAGTAGAAATTGGCCCATTTTAAGGGTTTTGCTATATGTTATCATTATAAGGACTAGTGGACAAAAACTGTTAGTTTCTACCGCTGTTGACTTAAGATTGTGTTGAAAAGCCTTGAAAATGTTTTCAAAGTTAAACTCTCTTGAAGTCTGTAAAAAATATAGTGAAGAAAACAGCTTGTATACAATATGCTTAAAGTCAGTTATCTGCTTGCTAAGGGGACCGATATTGCGATAAATTCACAGAGAGGACATGAAGCATACCACGTTTTCCTTTGCAAATGGCATGATGGTGTTTGCTAGGTGAAGTGTGACAAGATTTGGGGCAGTCAGCATGGTGGGAAGGTTCCTTTACAGGACCAGTAGCATCGCCGCCGCCAGTGTGCAAGCATTTACATTTTTCTATTATGTTCTTCAGAATGCCATTCTAGCCATTTGGGAAAAGATTTACGACTGATTCACCTTGTCTCAGATGAATTTACGTTTGTTTGTTTGTTTGTTTGTTTGTTTGTTTGTTTGTTTAGTCAGATTGGTTTGGTATTGCAGGCTAATGGAATAGCTGCCAACTTCTCCCTTACATGATCACCAAATCAATGACATGGTAGTTGAAATGGAACAGAAATTGAGGTTGACGAACAAACAAAACAATTTTGCTGGGGGAAGAGTATTCAGTGTCACAACATCCCTTGTTTGTAAACGACCACCTCCGTGGTCTAGTGGTAGAGCGTCCGCCCGGAGAGCCGAAGTTCCGGGGTTCGATCCCCAGGCGTCATACCAAAATATGTTAAAAGGGGGTACTTGTTGTTACCCTGTCTGGCGCTGGGCATTAAGGGATTAAAACAAGGACTGGTCGGCTCGGAGTCAGTATACTGTGTCTGGGTGGGGCATTCATGTTCAACTGCGGCATGGTATCTCAGTGGGCTAGCACTATAAATCGGCATCAGTCCAGAGTAGTACAAGCAGCCACGTGCATGCACGTTGCTGTATAAGTGCAATAATCTTTGCCGCGATGTTAAACCCAATTTCACCTCACCTCACCTCACCTCACCTCACCTCACCTCACCTCACCTCACCTCACCTATTTATAAACATAACGGTCATGCAGTTGTGAGGTCAATTCCATGCATGGCTGTAAGCCACCTAGCACAGTAGGGAGCTGTGATGAGTGACAGTGATTGCAAGCTCCTCACAGCGATAGCCCATTCTGGGATCTCTCTATACAATCACTGCCACCAGTCAAAACTCCCCACTGTGATTGGTGGCCACAACCATGCTTTGAGTTCAACTCTCAACTGACTGACACCATATGTTTACAAACAAGCGATGACTGTCATGACGCAGAATACTCTTAACCCAGCTAAATTATTGTGTTCGTTTGTTAATTTGAATTTTGGTTTCATTTCAACTGTCCTGTAATTGGTAAAGTAAGAATGTAAGGGGAGTTGGTTGATTTTCCGTTCATCTGCAGTCTCGAATCAATCTGATTAAACAAACAGAAAGGTAAATTCATCTGGGAAATCTGGTCAGTTATAAACCTTTTCAAAATCAATATGATAGCATTTCCAAAGGCATAAACAAAAATAAAAAACTTTACATTTGGGGTTAGAGGGCAAATTTCAAGAGTCTTGTTATGGCTGCTTCCACAATGACGGCAGTGATGACGAAGGTGTCATGCTGAGAAGGAGCTTGGTTTAATCCATGGGAAGGAGCCTTGAACTTTCTATACATACCCTGTGTTCAAAGCATTGTTAAATTTAACCCACTCATTATAACAAAGTATAAGGGCTTGCGTAGGTATTTCCTAATGTTATTGAACTACTTGCCTTATTTGTGTCGTTTCTATATATTTGTATATTTATTTTTCAGTATGGAGTTAAACAAGAAATAGAAGGAAATACATCATAGAATTTCTGCATCATCAAGAATATGTGTTTGTGTGTGTATGTAAAAACGAAAAACCATCAAAATAAACTGTATATAGATCTGTATGTGTTTTGTTCACTGTGTGCACGGAGGGGAAGTTAAGGCTGTCACTGAATTACACTAGAGTCGTCTCCCCCTGGACCATGTTGCACCTTGTCAATTATGCCTTGTACATATTGTCAGAAATGTGTGTAACGCAAGAGTTATCTCCCCTTGAACATTGTAGCCAGCCATTCATGCCTCATACATATTTTTACATATGCCCAGGTGTGATTATGGAAATGAGGAGTCTCTGGACTTGCAAGTCACTGGTGGTTGGGTTCTATCGCCTTCACATCTAGTGGTAGAACATCTGAGGAGAGCGGAAGGTTGGGGTTCGATGCCCTGCTGCGTCATACCCAAAGACGTTAAAAGATGATACTTGTTGTTACCCTGTCTGGCGCTCAGCATTAAGGGGATAAAACAAGGACTGGTCGGCTCAGAGTCAGTATACTGTATCTGAGTGGGGTATTCATGCCAGACACGGCACCTTAAATAAACATAATTGCTTCAATATGTCAAAATCGAGATTTTGATTTTTTTCGCATATATAATACATGTACTTTGTGATGCAACATGTTTTTTACGATATTGTGTACATTTACTGAATAAAAAACGTTATTAAAATCATAATGTGTGGTATTGTTTTTAAATATGATCGTAATCAATGTGGAAAAACCTGAACTTTCACCCATGACAACGCCCCCGCAGCTGTAACGAACCCCATCATGTTATACATCGATAGAAAGCTGATCGTTTCCGCCATCTTTCTGTGCAAAAACATTCTAAAAATAGATATTCCACGTGAGGCTATCGTCGGTTTTTCCCGCGAGTCATTCGTACGTAAATTACCATTTAAGGAGAAATATCCCGTAATGCAACATTCGGGAATATTCGTTCGATCCAAATAAAGTAAAACGTATCCCACAATGCACCATTCGGCTTAGCAACAAAACACCGGTCTTTTCCGGTAGGTATACAAAATGGCGGCTGCTTTGCGAAAAGATTGACAGGCAAACATCGTTTTTGATATTTTCTTAACTGAAAATTGTTGTATTTTTTTAAAATGAGATCAAAACACGGGTCAGAACACGCCTTTGGTTAGAATAGGAGGCGAAGGGCAAGTCAGTTGAAGCAGGCACGTTCGAAATGCGGTGTTAGAGTTACGACCCGTGTTGACAGCGCGATCATCCCTGTGTCAGATTCTGACAGCTTGGACGTTTTAGATGCATCGGAATCATCCGGGGACCACGCCGTTGGGGAAAACATCCCCGTTGGAGACAATGAAGGTGAGAATTCTTTTTTATTGAATGCAACTTCACGCAGCGACATAAAACTATCAAAATTTAAAGCTGCTGAAAATATCAAATCTCCCGTGCTTGACAATGATGAACCAAAACCTCAATGGATGTTAATTGACATGAGACAAATGAATTTATTTTTTCAAGAGATTGAATGCCTATCATGTCACGAACAGGGGTCTTTGTTGTTTGAAAAGAGTGACAATTTTGATAGATTTGGATTTGCTGTAAACGTTATGTTGACATGTCAAAACTGTCAGATGTGTGTTGCCAAAAATTACACTTCACAAAGGTAAGGTAATCAATCTGGTACCAATCCCTTTCAGGTCAATGACATTTTTATGCTCTGTCAGAGGTAGGACTTGGTCACGCTGCAATGAAAAGGTTTTGTCTGGTTTTTGGAATGGAAGGTCTCCATGAAGACATTTCAACAAAAACAAAACATTCTTTCACAGGTTGTTGTTGAAAATACTAAGGAAGTTTTGTCAACATCAGACATTGTCTCGATGCAGAAATTGCAGAAAAGATGGTACCTGTGTATCAAAGAATGTCTGATGAAAACCTCCTTAAGAGGATGGTGAAAGGCAAGACACAGAATGCTAATGAATGCTTGCATTCCGTGATCTAGTCCCGTTGTCCGAAGACCGTTTTTGTGGGTGCAAGGCGGTTGCATCGGGCAGTGGCATCTGCAATAGCTTCGTTCAATGAGGGTACATGTCACATTACTCAGGTAATTAACAAGCTTGCAATAGAAGCTAATGAAATAACAGCAGCTTCTATTGAAAGACTTGATAATGTGAGAACCCTCAAAGCAAGGAAGTAAAGCCAGGAGACATCTAAGATAGAACGTAGTGCAAAGTGGGAGGCTAAAAAAAGGGACCGAGTTCATGTTGAGGCAGCTGAAGGCTTGTTGTATGGTGCTGGGGAGTTTTAAGTCCTGTTATTTCTTTGTACATGCATTGTTTTATGTATCTTGAATACATCCCATCAGTAAACTAAGATTTTGTAAGTGTTTAATAGGTGCTGAAGGAAGAAAACCATATACAAACTTATTTCCTCATTTTCTCCATTAACGTTATTTTGGATCTTAGTGAACATAGATCTCAACCATTATTGGCCCGATTTGAATTAAATTTGGTGTACATATAGGCAGAGGATTACTTTACACAATAACAGAGAGACTTTTTGCAATTTGTTGGCCATTTTGATTTAAAAAAATAAATTATGGGTAAAAATCAACCTAAAAAATGTGAAATTTTGAAAAATTATTTTAAAAATATATACCAGTCTTTTTTAAATTTTTCTTTCTGTCATTGTACGCAACACCATACAAGCTTTGTTATACAATTGAAATTATATAAATATCTTTATTGGTCTTAGAGAAAAACTGAAACTAATTTCCATCTTTTTCAGGCTTGCGGCGGCCATCTTGGATGTTTCCATGGCAACCGGTGGCAACATCACCTGGAAAAGACTCCATTTCAATTGTTAATATGTATACCTCAAAGTTGTAACCAATTAAAACTAACAAATACTTGTGAAGCATTTTGTCAATTGTAAGGTGCAGTGTCTGGCCTTAAACTGCAGCATGGTAAATCAGTGGGCTAGCACTATAAAATCGGCATCTGTCTGGACTGGTACAAGCAGCCACACACACACACATGTGCATGCACGTTGCTATATAAGTGCAATAATCTTGAACATGACCAACATTAAACCCTATTTCACCTCACCTCTATCCCTTTCACATGGCACCTTGAACCAAGTTTATGTCAAAACTAAAAGCATCATCCATCATTGCCCATATTCTCAATGTAAATGCAGAAAATATATTATGACATTTTGGGCATAAACAATGAAATATGACCACATGATATAGATCAAACTGATGATGTTTAGATATCACATTGCGGGACATGCAGTATATTTGTGGTGCAATATTCAAATTATCAAATCAGTATCAATATTATAAACATGGTAAAAGAAGCATAAATACTGTAAACAGATGGTACAAGGAGTATTGCTACTGTAAACAGATGGTACAAGGAGTATTGCTACTGTAAACATGTTACAAAGAGTATCGCTACTGTTAACATGGTACAAGGAGTATCGCTACTGTGAACATGGTACAAAGAGTATCGCTACTGTAAACAGATGGTACAAGGAGTATTGCTACTGTAAACATATGGTACAAGGAATATCGCTACAGTAAACAGATGGTACAAGGAGTATTGCTGCTGTAAACAGATGGTACAGGGAGTATCGCTACTGTAAACATGGTACAAGGAGTATCGCTACTGTAAACAGATGGTACAAGGAGTATTGCTACTGTAAACAGATGGTACAAGGAGTTGCGCTACAGTAAACATGGTACAAGGAGTATCGCTACTGTAAACAGATGGTACAAGGAGTATCGCTACTGTAAACAGATGGTACAAGGAGTATCGCTACTGTAAACAGATGGTACAAGGAGTTGCGCTACAGTAAACATGGTACAAGGAGTATCGCTATTGTAAACAGATGGTACAAGGAGTATCGCTACTGTAAACAGATGGTACAAGGAGTATCGCTACTGTAAACAGATGGTACAAGGAGTATCGCTACTGTAAACAGATGGTACAAGGAGTTGCGCTACAGTAAACATGGTACAAGGAGTATCGCTACTGTAAACAGATGGTACAAGGAGTATCGCTACTGTAAACAGATGGTACAAGGGGTATCGCTACTGTAAACATGTTACAAAGAGTATCGCTACTGTAAACATTGTACAAGGAGTTGCGCTACAGTAAACATGGTACAAGGAGTATCGCTACTGTAAACAGATGGTACAAGGAGTATCGCTACTGTAAACAGATGGTACAAGGAGTTGCGCTACAGTAAACAGATGGTACAGGGAGTATCGCTACTGCAAACAGATGGTACAGGGAGTATCGCTACTGCAAACAGATGGTACAAGGAGTATCGCTACTGTAAACAGATGGTACAAGGAGTATCGCTACTGTAAACAGATGGTACAAGGAGTTGCGCTACAGTAAACATGGTACAAGGAGTATCGCTATTGTAAACAGATGGTACAAGGAGTATCGCTACTGTAAACAGATGGTACAAGGAGTATCGCTACTGTAAACAGATGGTACAAGGAGTATCGCTACTGTAAACAGATGGTACAAGGAGTTGCGCTACAGTAAACATGGTACAAGGAGTATCGCTACTGTAAACAGATGGTACAAGGAGTATCGCTACTGTAAACAGATGGTACAAGGGGTATCGCTACTGTAAACATGTTACAAAGAGTATCGCTACTGTAAACATTGTACAAGGAGTTGCGCTACAGTAAACATGGTACAAGGAGTATCGCTACTGTAAACAGATGGTACAAGGAGTATCGCTACTGTAAACAGATGGTACAAGGAGTTGCGCTACAGTAAACAGATGGTACAGGGAGTATCGCTACTGCAAACAGATGGTACAGGGAGTATCGCTACTGCAAACAGATGGTACAATGAGTATCGCTACTGTAAACAGATGGTACAATGAGTATCGCTACTGCAAACAGATGGTACAAGGAGTATCGCTACTGTAAACATTGTACAAGGAGTATCGCTACTGTAAACACCGTACAAGGAGTATCGCTACTGTAAACAGATGGTACAAGGAGTATCGCTACTGTAAACAGATGGTACAAGGAGTATCGCTACTGTAAACAGATGGTACAAGGAGT